CATAGTTCGAAGCACTAAAAAATACTTGGGCGTCTCCTACTTTCCCCTCTCTCTCTTAAAACGTTCTCCTTGAGTCATCCATTGCATTGGCGTTTACTCACCGGAAGAATCGAGATATTGCCCAGAGATGTCCACGAAACTCCTCGATATACTTGTTTGTGCAGCCAACGAGGCTTATGCTCAATTTGCAGACTGAAACCAGAATGGACTACACAAACAACGATTACTAATGTCGATATGCAGAATTTCTTCAGCAATATTTACGGTAACTTCCAGGGTGCAGTGCAGTACAATAATGATAACAATGTGAGCGGAACTCATATTGATAACGTATCATTCGTTTGTCATTCACCNTAATTTAGCGTGGACATAAACTGTGGGTTCCTTGAAACTTACTGATTAATAACCAAATGAATGGCTTCAAGTGTATAAAACAAGTGTAAGGAATTTTATCGTTTCGTTCAAGGGAAAGCATGCGATTGGTGGAGGAATAAATGATGTTTGTAAGTATATGGTGAACAATACGAAAACTCCAATCGAGAATGTGGCTGATGTTAATGCGTATATAGCGAAGTTTTGGGATGGTTACTTCAACTACACTGATAATCGCTATCAAAACTATGTTGATTACTTGAAGAACATCACGGCAATGTGTATGTCAGCTTCTTCTGCAATCGCTCTGTTATTCAATATAGCGAATAACTATGTATGATGAATTAAATCGAATCATAACACAAATTTGACCGAGAGATAAAGATTGGATATTGTGAGAGGTGCGGGGTCGTATTAATACTTTCTTTAAGGGGTGTGGGCGAGAAAAAAGGCTAGGAACCCCTGCTTTAAATGTTCATGCGCCTAATATTTTACGGTTATAAGGACTCACTCTTTCCCCTTACGTTTCTGACGTGCACGTATGATGCGCCATGGAACTGGGGCTAAATCGATGATATTTTGTCCTTATTGCATGTTTTTCAGCCGCAAGTCGCAGTTGGACATATCAAACATGCAATGAATTTGGATTTTTCCAGTCAACTGATATCGGTGAAAACATGTTCGGTGGTCCGACCCCTGTGAAGTTCGTTTTCGAGAGTCAAATTGCCCTGATTGATGTTCGTAGCAAAGGAAGCTGAGCTTTTCGTAAACGTTCGCTTCAATTCTAAAACCTCAATAGGGAGATGTGCATAGCCTGCCTCTAGCAATAAGGGACTTCGCATGAGAAAACATTAAAATCAATGTTTCGAATCGTTTTCAAAAGTCACAGAAGGTTCATCTGGAACGTGGATGAAGAGATCCATGCACTGAAGTTGATTGATTGCCTCTTCATCCAGAAAATATCGCTGTGCAATCCCGACAGGAATACGTATCTACTCTCCCAGTGAGCAAATTGACGAATGAGATGTGATGAATAATTGGAAAGTTAGCACTATGCGTTTTCGAAAAATTTGTGCACTAGCATTTATTGACAAGTGATTAGGTTTCCCATAGATCAGTTTGTTCCCTATTCCGTGACATCTCATGACGTTATTTGTCATTGAGTTATTAAAAACACAATCATTAAGCAAAATCATACAGAACTGTTATAGGTTTTTCAATCTTACATCAAAATTTTTCATAAATCTGCATATTGTATTACATATAACGATCTGATAAGAAGCCATATTGATAGTTGAACATCATAAATTGAAATGTTCAAACCCCTAAACATTTCGCCAGTCACATGCCAGCCGTTGCACCTGTCGTCTAGATAAGGCATATCAACATAGCGTTGCAATTGCATATCAGTCCTTCAGAACAACTCTGTATGCCGATCTCAGTTTTGCTATTCTACAAAACTACGGTTCAACTTTGTATGCTCCTTTAAGAAGCACCAGTTTGGTGTTAACGATGAGTGGCGGCTATAGATTTGCGTTTCGCTGATCAGAACCATCAATACATATAGCCAACTAGGAACGGGTAAACTATTCTGCATATACTGAACATGAAGTTTTTGGACTTTTGAGCATCAATTCATTT